CAGATATTTCTTCGAAGATTCGAGGGTTATTTTCTGGTACTGACCTAAACTGTTTTCTGTGAGCATCCGATTCGTAAGTTATATTCTGTTAAGCCTACGCCCGCTCTTGAACCCCTCGCAGTTAATCTGGTCCCATTAGTACACGTTCTGGGAGTTTTTGAATCTTCAGATAACAATAATTCATCCACAACATTGACAGAAGGATACTTTTATTTAGCTACGTGGGTTATAAAACTTAAACTTTATGAGCTTTTCTTGTAATTTTCTGCTCGCCGTTTCTCGAAATCAGTTTAAATTAACGAATGCTTCCTGATGTTTCAGGAACCTCTTCACGACACAGAACACCAGTGAGGAGACTGACATTCTCCTCCACGGAGTCAGCTCAGATGTGATGATCCAGATACTGGATTATATTTATTTTCGCGAGGTGGACATCCACTCCGACAACGCTCGTCAGCTGCTTGAGGCGGCTGAGTACTTGTGTAATCCGGACGTGCCTAAAGTATGCTGCGACTTCCTCAAGAACGCGATGGACGTCGACAACTGTGTCGGCATCATGCATTTCGCAAGGTAATTGATGTTCATTTGTCATTCGCTGTGACGCCAGTCTTCGTCGCTGGAGCGAATCACATTTACTCAAGAGAGCAGTCGAGTGCCGGGTCGGAGATTAAAGCCTCTTACTGAGGACTCGGCAAATTATAAACTTTGGCAGGTTGTTATTAATGTGCCTGTAATTTAAATTTTCTGATTTAACTGCATATATTTCGATCGTTATTACGACGAGCAGATGACTAATTTCACCATGTAGAACGTGAATCATGACCTATTTCATGGTCATAATTAAATCTGTCTTCCTCTCGAATTCCTTTTCTTCTTTCTTTCTTTCTCTGCGGAATTCCTTGCTTCTTACATAATTCTCCCAAAATCAAAATCAACATTGAGCCCCACATTTTCTGCATACAGCAAAACCTCTGTTAACCGAGCCTCGATTATCCGATTCCCGCATTAAGCGACCGAATTTCAACCAGATCGGTTGCGATTGGATTTCCATCGGCGAGAGTGTTTAAAGCGATGTCCACGCGGTAGAATTCATTGATCTAACCTCACCACAGGTTTTGCTGATTATTATGAACACTTTAGGACATTTAGAGAATTGGTTATTATGCGGCAAAGACAAAGACCGACCCGCTGGGTCCCGTAGGTGCTGAACCCTTATTCCTTCTTGTTCAGGACAACACAGCAAGCAAATCAACTGACATCGACAGAATCACACCAGAACCTCCAGTTCATGCGATGGACAGAATGACTTATAAATTCACTCTTTTAGTTCAGGGACTCCTTCGAACAGCGCTCACGAGTGACTTTTACCATCGGCTTGTGCGAGCGAAACGCCCTCATCATCTGCTGCCGAGGAAAATTTGTATTGAGTCTCTAGGTATTTGTTCTTATCCATGACCACGTTCCCTTTTCCCTCGCTCATCCGACCCGGGGTTCCCCCACATAGTCCGCTTAAACGAGGTTTCACTGGATTAACACACACAGTTACCAAAACGTCGTTTCGCCAAGCTTAATGCCAGAATTAAAAGTTCTACACTCCTCATCTCACTGCCTTCTTCGCTTGCGTACGCCGTGCCCTTGTTTCAACCTATAATCTTATCACGAGGACGATCGGGCATTGCCTGGGAACCTTCAGAGCCGAAAACTTTCTATTTTCCTCCGGTTAAACGGAGCGTATCTCATCGTTGCCTCTCCACGTGTCTGCTCTCAGTCTCACTCATTCGGGCTTCAAAGGGCTAAGGTAAAAACTGAAGGCGAAATACTGTGGTGTGCATATCCTTGAGAATCCAGTTCCTGCTGCAGGGTTTCAATATCTCAGAGTTCGAAGGAGATCGAATCTGAGTCGGCTCTTACACTCGCCTGCGCCGACCTTGAGACTCGTGCTCGTAGCCTCGTTCTGCGCCACTTCGTGGAAGTGTCTCAGAAGAGCGAAGAACTGCTGGAACTGCCTGCAGAGGAGCTGCAAGCGATAATCGAGTCCGAGGAACTGAACGTGAAGGACGAGAGAGTTGTGTGGGAGTGCATTCTCCGGTGGATCAACCACGACCCGAACAACAGGAAAGGTCATATCGCGGACCTTTTGAAGGGCGTCAGACTGGGACGTCTGGACACAAAAGTTTTCAAGGAGGTCAGTATTGCCCCTGAAATCGTGGATGTCTATAGGAAGTGAAGCCCGCATTTTAATTCAATATTCACACGTGTTCATAACTAATTAATACAAATCTGGAGCCTTTTTCTTCGTCACGTGTCCGTCTGTCTGTCCGCAGTTCCAGCTCGAGAACGTCTGAACGGATATTCATTTGATTTAATGCTGATAAGCTTTAACAGATTCTGTTGACATATTCCAATTCTGGTTAAAATCTTACAATAACAACGTGAAAAGTACACAATGTTTTCAATGCCTTATTCCGGG